GAAGTCGGACGCTTAACCGACTGCGCCACCCAGGCGCCCCAAAATAAATAAATTTTTTAAAAAAGAAAATACCAAACAAAAATCACCAAACTAAAGAGTACGATAATTGCACTGAAAAATTTAATGGAGGGGTTCAACATCAGACTAGATCAAGCTGAAGAAAGGATCAACAAACTCAAAGACAGAAGAGAGGAATTCATCCGATCAGAGAAATGAAAAGGAAAAAGAATGAAAAAGAGTAATGATAGTTTGAGGGACTTATAGGACAACATCAAGAAAACCAGCATTCACATTATAAGGGGTCTCAGGAGAAAAAAGAATGAAAGGGACAGAAAGCTCATTCAAAGAAATCATGGCTGCAAACTTCCCTAATCTGGGGAAAGAAAGAGACATCCAGATCCAGGAAGCCCAAAGAGCTGTAACAAAGATGAACCCAAAGAAACCCACACCCAAGACACATTAAAATTAAAGTATCAACAATTAAAGACAGGAAGACAATCTTAAAAGCAGTAAAAGAAAAACAACTTGTTACACAAGGCTATCACCAAGTAAGGACATCAGTTGGTAACACTATCAGCACATTTTATAGCAAAAACTTTACAGGTCAAAAGACTGTCAAAATATACTCAAGTGCTGAAAGAAAAAAACCATCAACCAATAATACTCTACCCAGCAAAGTTGTCCTTCAGAATTTTGAGGGAGAGGTCAAGAGTTTATCAGAAACAAAAGCTGAAGGAGTTCATCACCACTAGCCCAGCCTTACAAGAAATGTCAAAGGTACTTTTTCATGCTACAATAAAAGGATCCCAATTAGTAATAGGAAAACATATTAAAGTATATGGGGTGCCTGGGTGCCTCATTCGGTTAAGCATCTGACTTTGGCTCAGGTCATGATCTCATGGTTCATGAGTTCAAGCCCCACATCAGGCTTTGCTCTGACAGTGCACAGCCTGCTTGGGATTCTCTCTCCCTCTCTCTTCCCCTTCTCCACTTGTATGCATGCTCTCTCTCTCTCTCTCTGAGTGAATAAACTTAAAAAAAAAAGAAAGCATAAATTTCAGTAGTAAGGCAAATATAGAGTTAAATTCAAAATACTCTAAAGTTATGGTGATGGATAAATCATTTATAAATCCAGTAGGAAGGTTAAAAGACAAAAGTAATAAAAATAATTGGGGCACCTGAGCAGTTCAGTCAGTTAAGTGCCTGACTCTTGGTTTCAGGTCTGGTCATAATCCCAGGGTCATGAGACTGAGCCTGCATTGGGCTCCATGTTTGAGGTGGAGTCTGCTTAAGATTCCCTCTCTCCCTCTCCTTCATCCTCTCATGTTGTCTCTCTCTCTCCCTCAAAGAAGAATAATTATAATTATAATAGTTTGTAATGGATACACAAGGTAAAAAGATGTAAATTATGACATCAAACATAAAACATGGGGGGAGAGCAAAAATTAGAACTTTAAAATATGTTCAAACTTAACTGGTCAAAAATCACCAATATATGTTATAAATATAAGTTGTTACATGTAAGCATAATGGTAGCTACAAAGCAAATGCCTACAGGAGATAAACAAAAGATAATAAGAAAGGAATCTAAGAAAACCACTGTGAAAGTCATCAAACCACAAAGGAAGAAAGCAAGAAAAGAAAAAAAAAGAGGAACTACAAAACAACCAGAAAACAATTAACAGAATGGCAACAAGTACACACCTATAAATAATTCTTTAAATGTAAATTAACTAAATCCTCCAATCGAAAGACATGGAGAGATTGAATGAATAAAAAAAAAAAAAAAAAAAAAAAAAAAAAAAAAAAAAAAAAAAAAAAAAAAGACCCAACTATATGCTGCCTACAACAGACTCACATCAGGTTTAAGGACACAAACCGACTGAAAGTGAAAGGGTAGAAAAATACATTCCATGCGAATGGAAAGCAAAGAAAGAAGGCATAATAATACAAGATAAAATTCAAGAATTTAATTAAAGACTGTAATGAGACAAAAAATCATTATATAATGATACAGAGGTCAATCTGACAAGAGGGTAAAGCACTGCTTTCTTTTTTTTAATATTTATTTATTTATTTATTTATTTTGAGAGAAAGAGTATGAGTGGGGAAAGGGGCAAAGAGAGTGAGAGACTCCCAAGCAGGCTCCGTGCTGTTAGTGCAGAGCCCAATGTGGGGCTTGATCTCATGAACTGTGAGATCATGACCTAAGCTGAAGTCAAGAGTTGGATGCTAAACCAAGTGAGCCACCCAGGTTCCCTGAAGGTAAAGCATTTGTAAATATTTATGCTCCCAACAATAGGGCACCTAAATACATAAAACAAACATTTAACAGACCTTAAAAGAGAAATAGACAGCAATACAAGAATAATAGAGGACTTCAATACCCCATTTTCAACAATGGATAGACCATCCAGGCCAAAAAATCAGTAACAAAACATTGAGCTTAACACACTAGACTTAATGTGAATGATAGTTCATGGTCATGGATTGGAAAAAATAATACTATTAAAATGTCTATACTACCCAAAGCAACAATATACAGATCCACCGTAATCTCTATCAAAATTCCAGTTAGATTTTTCACAGAAATAGAAAAAGAAATCCTAAAATTCCTATGGAAACATGAAGACCCTGAATAGTCAAAACAATTGTAATAAAGAAGAACAAAGCTGGAGGCATAAGCATCACACTTCCTTATTTTAGACTATATTACAAAGCTATAGTAATCAAAAGAGTATGGGATTAACATAAAAACACTGACACGGAACAATGGTACAGAATAGAAAACCCAGAAATAAACCCAAGCATATATGGTCAATTGATTTATAACAAAAGAACTAAGAATATAAAATGAGGAAAAGATAGTCTCTTCAATAAAAGGTGATGGGAAACTGGATAGCCACATACACAAAAATGAAATTGGATCACTATCTTACACCGTACACAAAAATCAATTCAAAATGGATAAAGGACTTGAAAGTAATACCTGCAACCATAGAACTCGTAGAAGAAAACATAAGAGAAAGAGCTCCCTGACATCAATCTTGGCAATGCATTTTTTTTTTTTTTTTGGATTTGACACCAGTCAGCTTTTGATTTACAACAGCTGTATTTTAATAGTACACACACACACACACACACACAATTTCATTTCTGCCTTTATAATTCCTTTTTGTTTTTTAACCATCAAGTAATAAGATATAGTTTGGTCCAAGAGTTTGAAATCATTCAGGTCTTTTAAACTAATATGATCAAGTGGTTTTGCTATACATCTCATTATTATAAATTTGTTTAGTTCTGGGTTTAGCAATGGGATAGCTAAACATGGATATATTTTCTTTCCCTTGATTTATGTCTCCATTTCATTCCGAAATTTGGAAGATTACTGCCATGAATTCTTCATTTACTGATGATGTATTTGAACTTCATTCCAGCTATTTCACATGCCCTTCGAGTATTATAAAAATGTCATGATGGAAATCTACTGATAAGTATGAAAAAATATATACTTGAGTTCAACAGTGCTCTGTAATTAATAGTGACAAGACCTCAAGAGGGAAAATATATGCTTATAGGACAATAAAACTTAGCAACCGAGAGTTGGCTCTCAGGTATATGGCTATTATTTGTTTTTTGTTTTTTCTCTTCTCCCAAAGTATTCTTTAAAAAGGCAATAACAAATATAAAGAAAAAAGTTATTACCACATTTAGATTCTATTTAGATTCTAGTTATTACCACACTTAGATTCTATTAATTGTTTATCATAGATCTGCTTCACATGAGGATGCGAAGCTAGGTTGGTGCTCAATAAAACTCTTAATTTCAAAGATGGCCAGGACTTTTTATTTGCCAGTTGGACTGACCCTAAAAATCTAAATATGCCTGTCAATCCCCATGTTTCCATTTAACACAATCTCTACCACCTACATGGATGCCCTCCATCAAGTTGCGATCAAACATTGCTGCCTCCTTATTCAAAGAGGTTGCCAACTTATTCAAAGTTTACATGTTAATGGATGCAAATACACAAAATCGTCTCTAAGGTCAGACATTTGTCCACTTGGTCTACAATCGGTGAACTTTGCAATACAAGTACAAAGCTCCACATTTATTTAGTTTAATAAAAAAAATCCCACGCTTCATAGGTAACAATTAATTTCTCATATTAAAAGAAACCAAATGAGACAATCTCTGCCTAAAACCACTACTCATTTGATCTATAAGCCCAGAAAAAAGATGTAACTTCCTCTTGCCTTGGTTCATCTATGTTAGCTCCTGAATGGATATGTTGGGGCATGGAGGAGGTCATTTTCTAGTCTTGTTTCCATAATAACTAGAATTCTTCTCCCTGAACAACAAGAGCAACAGTCAAGTTTTGCAGGAACACCAGTTCTGAGAGAATCAACTGAAGGACCAAGTGTCACTTCAGCCAGTGTATCTTTCTACCAGCTCCTCTCAGGGATGCGAACCTATTTTATTTTTCTTTTGTATTACCTTTCTCCTAAAATATTAAGAACAGACAGTGGAGTACATAATTGGCATTCAGTCAAGACACCCATTATTATCTCTTTAGCCCACAAACATCTTAAAAGTTCTTAAAAGGTAAAACTGTTTATGAGTACCTGAGGTATGTTGAACAAAAGTCATCAATATTACAAATTTGTAGTACCTGGATCACTTTATATTAAACATTTCTGACAGCGTGAAGACATAATATTACATGCATTTATTATGTAGTGTCCTTCCCAGAATTTGTAGTTAAATATAAATAATGTCAGGTTAAAGACTTTAATCTTCTAGATTTTGATTTTAAAACATTGTTTCCTAACTGCCAGGAGAATTATAGTGTGTTGATAGTGAAAATTAACAAATTGGATGTAACCTTGAAACCAGTCAGATAGCAAGCTGTGGTGTCCCACCACTCCTCCCATGACAGCTCAACCAGTTGGTGAGTAGTTTCAACTCCTAAAATAAATGTTGAGCTTAGTGTTCTTACCTGGCACCCTCTTTGCCCAGTTGATCATGTGAACCAGCTCCCTGTCAGCAAGGTTGGTCAGCAAGCCCATCATCGAAGCCTCACTGAAGGGTCTGGAAGGATCGTAGTCGGAATAGATTATGGGGGGCTCAGCCTCCAACAAGGCACTGACCATCTGATCGGCTGTCAGGGACAAGGCTGGACTGTTCTTCTTAGTATGCTTAATCAAGAGAGGGCTTGGCCAAAGGTTGGAAGCCCTCACATCTCCGGAAGACCCCACTTCATTCCTGCCCTCCCCCTCATCTCTCTGGCGCTTGTGTTTCAACATTCTTCCTCCTCTTCGGTCTTTCCGTATTCCTGAGAACACAGAAAAAAAAATACCCAGTTTATTTTTTTCTCATGTAAACTTTCACACTAAAACCGACTTCCATGCTAATAGCCTTTCTTTTATTTACATAGATATTTTGAGGCACAAATTTGCTAGTAGGTGTTCAACAAGCAGCTGCCTAAGAGGGAAAAAAAAAGGCTTTGATTTGTAGCATTCTCCAATTCCATGGTGTAAATACTCCCACCATGGCAAATTTCAAGCTACTTGTCTGAACTGGAGTGGCTTACAAAACTCCTGAAAAGTTAACAGTAGAATTTTGTGAGCCAACACAAGTTGGATCTGACAAACTGTGTGTGTGTGTGTGTGTGTGTGTGTGTGTGTGTGTGTAACAGATACTACAAAAAGAACAAAATCGTAATGATTAGTTATTCTTGAAATACGGCTTACCATCAAAGACAGCTTCTGCTATGAATATTCTTTTAACAGTAAATTTAAAGGGCACTGAGAAAAGCACTTTGTAACCATCCTATCGTCCAAGTAGGTCTCTTACTGGAAGACACGGGAGGAGAGTGACGTATCTGAAATGTATCTGACAGCCTCAGGATCCCACAGGTCCTCAGCGAGTCTTTGTTTGTTGCTAAGCTGCACCTGATCACCTCAGTACTTCGCCTAAGACCTTCAAGTAGTTTACTTGGTTCTTAGATTTTCACAAATGTATTTCTCTTCCCCTAATAGAAAAGCTTTAAAATAGCTGAAAATAATTTTCCCCCAAAGGTTTACCCAGCTGTGGTTCTCACTAACTAAATTATAAACAGAAGGAGAATCCAGTCTATTGCAATGATTCTTTGTGGTCCCATCTCAGCATCTTAACCTGGAAAAGGCCATGCTGTGGCACTGAAATGTATCAGCAGAAACAAATATCTTACAAAGACAAAAATTAACACAAGCTTCTGTAGTTTCAAAACTGGCCGCATCAAAAGAAATGTTCATCTCTCCAAAATAAGCTGGACAGCAACATTTTTTAGGTTTGTATGAAAAAAATAATTTTGGTAAAAAGCTAATACAATTATTTTTAATATTAAATACATGAGCAGTACACACTCTTTATAATATATTACCTTTTCTCTCATAACAAATGAATAACTAATATCAGAAACTTGTTCTATTCTGTTCTAATTTGTCAAGAAATTTGGACAAATATGTGGCTGTGAATCTTTTATGTGTAACTTTTTAAAATATTTTTCATAAATATTTTTAAGTGTTTATTTTTGAGAGAGAGGAGAGACAGAGAGAGAGTGAGTGGGGTAGGAGCAGAGAGAGACGGAGACACAGAATCCAAAGCAGGATCCAGGCTCCGAGCTGTCAGCACAGAGCCCAATGTGGAGCTCAAACCCATGAACCGTAAGATCATGACCTGAGCCAAAGTCGGACACTTAACCGACTGAGCTACCCAGGAGCCCCTTATGTGTAACTTTTATTCTTATAGGTCTAGATTATATACATTAGACAACGCCCTCAAAATATAATGAAGTCACAGACCCTTCCTATTTGTTCAGTATTAAAATAAGCATTTCTCAGAACTCTTGTAATAAGTAATAAAAATAAAGATTATTATCACTAATACACACCCAGTACTTACTCACCATGTATCTTAAGCACTTTATATACACTTTACATGAAAGCACTTTACAATTAATTTAACCCTCACCATAATCTCATAAGGTTAATATTGGGAAACATCTATGTAGAAAGGTTAATGAACTTGTCCAAGACCATTCTCAACCAAGTATGATTCGAGATCCTGGCCCTAAAATGAAGAAGTTTCTCCAGTTAACAGTTTTAGAATTTTACCAATTATCGACAAAGTTGACAAATTCATGAATATCCAGAAGTAAAATAAGTTGGATGAGAACAGTTGTATTTGACCAGCCATTGTCCTTAGGCCTTTCAACCAGTTCATTGCCAGATATGCTCATGAGATAAGAGTATCTAGATTAAGAAAGATGATTCACTCTACTCTCAGGTCATCAGTGCATACCCGGAGTTATCACACCCATGGCTGAATACTGCATATATAAGCAAAATAGACTTATTTAGATTGGAGTAACTAGAATGGTGGGGAGGTGTGAAATCTCGTCACACAGAGATCAACTGAGGAACAAAGAGTGGTTAGTGTAAAGAAAAGAAGATTTAGAGGAAACATGAGTGTCTTCCTATAAAGATGGTGTTATAGTCTGAAAGCTTGTGTCCCCTGAAATTCATATGTTGAAATCAAAGTGGTGGTACTTGGAGGTGGGGCCTTTGGTAGGTAGTTATGTCATGGGAGTACAGTCCTCATAAGTGGATGAATGGCCTCATAAGAGGCCAGGGAGCTAGTATGAGCTTGCTCTCTCTATTATGTGAGGATACGAGATATCTGTGAGCTATCTGCAAGCCAGGAAGCAAACTCTATTCAGACACCAGATCTGCGGCACCTTGATCTTGGACTTCCCAAACTCCAGAACTGTGAAAAACAAATGTTTGTTGTTTAAGCCATGAAGTCTTTGTCATTTCTGTTATAGCAGCCCACACTATCTGGGAGATGGGTTTGATTTGCTCTTCTGTGTTTCTTCTGTAACACCGAAGAAATATGTGGAAACTGTAAGTAGAGTTCAAAATAAGGAGGCAGTTTGCAATAGTCAAATCAGACAAAAAAGGTAGAATCTGCTGCCATAGGAAATGCTACATTGGATCACTAGAAGCTTCCAATAATAGCTAGCTGAAGACTTAAAAAAATTTTTTAATGTTTATTTATTTTTGAGAAACAGAGAGACAGGGTGTGAGCAGGGGAAAGGCAGAGAGAGAGGGAGACAAGGAATCTGAAGCAAGCTCCAGACCCTGAGCTGTTAGCGCAAAGCCCAACACGGTGCTCCAACTCACGAACTGTGAGATCATGACCTGATCCGAAGTCGGATACTTAACCAACTGAACTACCTAGGCGCCCCTAGTGAAGACTTTGTGGAAATGTTACTGAAGGGATTAATTATTGAGTGAGCATTTGCACTAGGTGACCTTCAATATACCTTCTCAAGACCATATGACTCCATTTGGAATGAAAGACCAGTAGCCTTGGAATGAAAAATGGGGGGTGGGGGGAGAAATCGAAAGCAAAAATTCCTTTAGAATCACATTTCTCGGGAAATTTTGAGGTCAGAATTTTGAAAGGATGAATTCTGATTGGTGTTTTACCTACTCTGGGTGGGCACTGGGGTAAAAATACTGCATTGTTTTTCAGTCATTAGTATATTATTCGAATATTTTTTATTTCTCTATAACTTTAGAAGGAGATTGGGAATGTGAATAGATCTTATAGGAAATCTGCAACAGCAAGGAAAATTTTTTAATATCAGATCTATGTGGAAAGATAAAGGCAAGGGATTTGACTAAAGCAAAAAAATGGTTAAAGATGATACTGTTTTTCCTTAGATGAAATCAGGAGTTATCTGATCACAACTACACATATGCATTTTACTTTTTAAAGTCTATGCTTTCTATTATAAATGTAATTTATTTTTTAAAGATTGCAAAAGTAAAGACAACTAGACAGAAAGTTAACAAAACAAAACATAGTATTACTACCCACTTTAAAAGGCCCTAGCAGTCTTAATACTGATATATGATTTCCAGAAAAAGGATTTTAGACTCAATTCAGGTACTAATGGCAGCAGTTATCAAATTTATCAAAGCCTTTATTCATTTGGTAAAAAAAATTGTTCACTATTTATAAGGTATATTCACAGATGATACAGTGATAAACAAAGACAGATTATGTTACCCTCCAGCTTGGAAGGAGAAAGACATCAATTTAGAGTATTCATTGGACGAATGAATGAATGAACTGCCCAAAACACAATGGAAGGGAGGAGGTGAATAAAGGAGGAGGAGACAAAGCTTCTGTAAGGGAGGGAGTTACATTTAAGCCAACTCATGAAATTTCCTTTCTCGGAGAAATTTAGGCATAGTCTACTCAGAGTGAGTTGAGTCTCACAAACACATGATCTAGGATGTTGAACCCAAGACAAAAATGGCCCCAAGTTTGGCATGTAGAACAATAAGACACAACTGGAGAGATCAAAGAAAGAGTTGAATATTTATGAAATCATCAAATAGTCAAATAGGGAACGATGGATTCAATTAGCACTAACAAATATTTTCTCTAATGTATCCCTAAGTGCACTATATTAAATGCCAAAGTCCCTACAAAGTGTACAAATAGAACAAAAATAGAAAATTGTGCCTATAATGTGGCCAACTACATGTGGTAGGATCCTAAGGCACAGCTCAATGAGGAAGGCATCTTTTTCCACTTATAAGTAGTAATTGTCACATTACCAGTGATATACCAATGTCATTTACCAGTGACAATATTACACAAATATTTTACAGTACTTCAAAAAAATCAAACTGGAATTGAGTGGAAAAAGGTAAAAAAAAAATGACCCAAATCCTACTTCTCTTTTAACCTAGGTTAAATAAGAATTGCAGGTCAGAACCAATGATTACAGGCTGTGTTGCTATGACACAGTCAGCCAGTTCTTAATTATATACAGTGATGGGGCATAGGAGTGGCATGCATAATTGAAATCCAAAGTAAAATTAAAACCTCTATGCTCCCCACCAAGACATTTTCCAGAATTATTTGGAGAGCAGCAACCTAGATTGATATGTATTTTACTTAAGCTGGCTTCCCTCTGTCTAACTTATTTTAACTATCAGTGAAAAAGACCAAAAGAACAAAACTAAGTTCACAAAGCAGAGGGATAAAAACGATTAGCTTCGATCATACAAATATTAAACAGGTTGGCTCTTAACAGTCAAGACATTTATCTTGTGCATTATCTTATACAACAAATAGCATTTTAGCTTGTAATGCCATATAAACAAGATGTAGTGTCATTCAGTACACAAATGTGTCCTTTTCCAGAATGACCGAGTAAAATATTCAGCAGTACAGTACAAATGTCCTGCAATGGATATACTAATATACACA